CTGTGTAGGGACAAACTGAGCTCTATAGAGGACACGTGGAACCGAATGAGGGACAGCATTGTACTCCTCACGGAAGTCTACGTTCCTGTGAAAACAACGGGGATAAGGGACACAAACCCTGGTTCCGACCCAGAGTCCACCGAGAGTTTAAGAATAAACACCAGGCATGGATGGCGTTCAACAATCAGAGAAGCCCTCTGCTCTTTGCTCGCTTTAAACGTCTCCGCAATAAAGCTATCAAAGTGGCAAGGGCGGCTAGACTCAAGTATAAACTAGACATAGCCAACGAGGCCTCAAAAGCCCCCAAAACTTCGGCTATTCAAGCCCGGTCCTCATCAAGAAAAGTGATCGGCAATGCCCTTCACATTAATGGACAACTATTGGCCAGCGACAAGGATATTGCTGACTCGTTCCTCGCCTGGTTTCAAGAGGTCTTTCGCCTGAATACCTTGAGCAACTACCCTACCCTCGATCGAGTGAGTGACATGCCAGATCTGGTAATATCTNGTAATATCTACACCGGACGTGGAAAGAGTCTTTAAAACTCCTAAAATCTCCTAATCCGCGGGTCCAGATAATATCCACCCAGCCGTCATAAAACTGATAGAGTCCTTAATGATTCCCCAACTAGTCACAATGTTCAACGACTCTCTGAACACGGGCCGGATTCCGGAGGACTGGAAACATGCCATAGTTGTCCCAATCTTTAAAGGAGGTAACAAATCGGACCCGTCCAACTATCGTCCGATCAGTCTCACCAGCATCGTCGCTAAGCTCCTGGAGCATATTCTGCGAGACTACATAAGCGCGCAAATCGGTTCCTTTTGCAACGCTCAACACGGATTCATCAACAAATCTGTTATACTTCCTAGACGTAGTAACACAGAAATTAGACAAGGGAACGGAAGTCGAAGTGTGCTATCTGGGCTTCCAGAAAGCATCCGAATCAGTTAATCACGGGTTGTTAGATTTCAAGTTGCGGGAAACTAGGCTTAATCCGAAAGTGTGTAACTGGGTTAGAGCGCTCTTGTCCGGGCGGACCTACAGAGTTCGTGTGCGAGGATGTCTGTCTGCGTTGGTTCCCCCATCAGCGGGGTCTCACAATGATGCATCCTAGCTCTTCTTCTCTGTCTAGTGTATGTCAACGACATAACATCAGGTTTGGAGAACCCCTGCTTTTTTGTACGCGGATCACATCAAATTAGTTGGAAACCCGGACGACAGGTACTCCTTGCAGAGTGATATCTTGAAGATATGCGAGTGGTCTCAAAAATTGGACCTCCTACTCAACGCATTGAAGAGTTACCTGTTAACCAAAATAACACATCCCATCCTCGACAGATCCTCCTTACAGACGGAGCATATGCAATCCTAGCTTGCAAATCAGAGGCAATGGACCTCGGGATAAGAGCCTCCGACACCTCTTCCCCGCCTTCTACCTCTGAAGCAGTAGCCTTAAAATCCAGGCAAACTCTGATTAGACTCCAAACGGCAATCACCAACCGTTGCCCTAGTGTATTCATGCCCCTATCCACAGTCATCGTAAGGCCTCACCTCGAGTACTGTGCTCAGGCCTCGGTACCGTATCATCGGAAGGACTTCAAAGTTCTAGAAGACCTTCAGCGACTAGCAACCCGGATGGTCTGGGGTCAAAACTACTACTACCACTACTACCACTCAGAAAACCTAAAATCGCTGAGACTGTTCTCTCTAGAACACCGACGGTTGAGGGGGTACCTCATTGAAGTTTACAAA